CTTTTCTGGGGCACACAGCCGCCCAGCTACAGATGACCTTGCCCGGCCTCCCTAGCGGCCAAGTGTGACCCTGGGACTAAGTCCTTGCCTATGGCCCAAAACAGCCAAAAGAAGGTTGGCTGCCCCGGCTTTCCCCTCTCTGGGCACATAGGTGTGGCAGTGCCAGCTCCACACGTCTTGGCAAGGACACACCCTGGGGCAGTGAGTTTTCAGCATGTGATCTCTGCACCACCAGCATAAGCATCACCCGGAAACTTGTGGGAAATGCAAATTCGCAGTTCCTACCCCGGAAGCACTAGATCAGAAACAGGGGCGCAGCAACCTGTGTTTTAACAAGTTCTCCGGGTGATTCTGATGCTTGGGCACCGTGGAGCCACCAGAAGGAAGGATCTTGGGAGCTTGTGTGACCCCATGGGAGCAGAACTGGCAAGAGCTGTTTAAGCCACTGTATTTTGGAGCCCCCCTAACTGTGAGCCTGAGGCGCCATCTCCATCCCCTACAACACCCCAGCAGCTACATGCGTCCAGGCACCCTGACCCCTGACCAAAGCTGATGGGGCCATCCTGGACCCTGATCTACACTGGGCCAAATCGCTCCTCAGCCCCAACCTTGCCCCGGGAACAAAGGCTTGTGACAAGTCAGCAAGGTTGGCTTGCTCTGCTCGTGAACTTGAGATCAGGGGCACGTGGCTGCCCAGCTAACGATGACAGCAGCGGCCATATGCTATTGAGAGCCAGTCTGTAGGGAGAGAGAAGAAACAGCTGCAAACCAGAAACCCAAAGAGGAGGGAGCACCTGCCCAGCTTTCCGAAGCTTCTGGTTCCAGTCCTGACCTGGCCCAGCTCTCTGTTCTTTCACTGGGTGGACTTAGCCCATTTCCATTACTTGAGATTCCATACACGTTTAGTCTTTGTTCTGTCATAATATTTTATGGTATATTTTTTGTATTTATAATTTTTGAAGTCTTTCACTATGTTTTCAGTTATGTTCACTTTGTTTTGGGGTGTATATTTCTTATAACGTTTAGGAAATTTTGATTTGGATCCTAATGATTACCTTTATGATTATATGCCCTTAAATGTCTAGTTCTTTAAACAGTAGCTCTTAAACCCTAGTAAGAATAATCATAAGATTATTTCCTTTCCCCCCATTCCCTACCATTCTTTTGCTATTCAATTTTAATCACTAGTATTATCTTTTTTAATGTTTGCCGTTGCACAATTAAAAATGCTTACACTTCTACTATATTTTGTCAGCTTTAAATGAAATTCTTTGGTCCCCAGCTATTATTCACAAACAGCATGTTTATTCTTTCTCCCATTTTTCCCTCATTCACCTTCCAAAGTTTTCTATTTGTGTCATTTCTATATTGTTAGGATATAAAACATGTCCCTTCTACTCTATTACTCCCATACTCACATTTGTTCGGTCTTAGTTCTTCAGTTAAACATATTCTTTGCATACGCCTGTCCCCTTTTGCCCTAGTTTTCCATTATTTCTTGGTTGACTGAAGTTAAAACTCCATAATTTTCTCAAGAAGTACTCATGGGTATAATAGTCTCTGGGTTCTTGCATGTTCAAAACTATTTTTCTATAGCATTCATACCTGAAAGAAAGTTTGGCAAGATATAAAATACTGCTCACAGTTTCTTTCTTGGAGTAGCTTGTAGGTTCTGCTCCACAGTTTTCTAACATTAAATGATGCTGTGGAGAAATCTAAGATTAGACTGGCTTTTTACCCTGCCCAGGAGCCCTAAGAATTCTTTCTTTTTCTTCCCTTTTTTTTTTCATTTTTTCCCCAGCTTTACTGAGGTATAATTGACAAATAAAATTGTGTATATTTAAATTATTAAACATGATGATTTATGTATAGATTGTGAAATGACTACTACAATCAAGTTAGTTAACTCATCCATCACCTCACATAGAACTTTTTGTGTGTGTAGTGAGAATGTTTAAGATATACTCTCTTTGCAAATTTCAAGTATACAATACTAGCTAGTCACCATGCTGTACATTAGATCCTCAGATCTCATTCATTTAATAGCTGAAAGTCTTTTTTTTTTTTTTTTTTTAGATTCTACATACAAGTGTACTATACAGTATTTGTCTCTCTCTGTCTGGATTTTTTCAGTTAGCATAATGTCCTCCAGGTTTGTCCATGTTGTTGCAAATGGCAGGATTTCCTTTTTTATGGCTGAGTAATATTGCATTGTATACATATATGCATTTTCTGTATCCATTCATCCATCGAAGGACATGTAGGTTATTTCCATGTCTTGGCTATTGTGCATAATGCTGCAATGAACATGGGAGTGCAGATATCTCTTCAAGATTTCTTTTCCTTCAGATAAATCCTCCGATTTCTGTTTGGGGTTCCAGAGGCCCCCTCTCCATAGAGTATGCTTTTTGTACCCTGTGTTATGTTCCCCTGGGCCCCCGACTGATTCCAGCTGTCCCCACAGTGGACAATCCCCCTGTACACTGCCAGCTTCCCACCTCAAGCCCCGGAACCATTCCCTGCTTTCTTGCCCACTCTCAGGGAGGCACAGAGGAAATTAACACCTTTGGGGACAACCCTCAACACATAGATGACAAAAGTCAGTGGGTAAATGCCCAGCCTCCATCCTTCAAAGGGACAATTCTGAGAGGCATTCTATATGATGCCACAGGATATGCCCAGTGGGACTGAGCCTCTTTTCTATAAAACAGGTGATCTTTGTCTCCCCCTAAGACGCCTTTAGCTGATGATCCTTTTGAAGTGAGAGTCTAAATTTTTGTCTTTATTAGATATATTTTAATATGATCTTTATTACTATTTAACACACACACATATGTGTAATACATGCATAGATAAGCACTGTGAAAAACCCAGATAACACAGTTCGTCCTCCATAATCATGGGTTCCACATCCCCAGATTTAACCAACTGCAGATCCCATTATTGACGTTAACTTCTCAATTGTGTATGAGTTATTATCTCCTTTAATCCTCACAACAATGTAGGG